ACAGCATCTGTTTATGAATGGTCCGACAATTGCCCATCCCCCGACAGCTACAGCTGACTGAGGTGGGGGGGCACCGAGAGTCACCGAAAAGCAAAAGAAGGGATAAAGAAGAACAAGGCAGTGAGAACAGGGGGAGGGAAAGAAAGAGAGAGAAGAGGTAATTGCGTGTTTGATGTTTGTTTTTTTCTTCTATTGACAGGTGGTACAAGAATCAAAAACAAAAAAAGAAGAATGTCGAAGGGCTTATCCAACATCTAACAGTAATTGCATATTAGCCAATAAAAGCAGAATTATATGACCAAATACTTTTTTATGTAAGCGTTTTAGGTCATCTAAAAAGGAAGAGGAATATAAAACTCAGTTGTTTAATCTGACCTCGGTCACCTGAGATATGATAAAGGAGGTAACCATGTGTTTTCTGTGGTTAAACTTTTATATTTGCTCATGAAAAACGACAGTAAATCTCGCCTGTAATGTAACTGCCTTCCCTGTTTAACTGAATGGCCAGGTCCTTCCTTCCTACAGCAGTCAGACTGTATAAAATATGCAAGTCTACTCATTTTACTGTACTTTTGCTGTTGTAATGCCGTATTTGTCCTCGTGGCTGGACAAATAAAGGATTTCTGATTCGGAAATAGTTAGACAAACATTATTCAGTCAGTTTAGCATCTACAAAACTGCGGGAAAATAAGTGTTGTAAATGTTTCACTTTTTTTTTTAAACATTATAATCGATTAAAAAACATGCATTTTATAAAAACAAAAATATGTGTTAGTGCTGCCTTGAATGGTACTGTACTGTTGACCAATAGACAAAATGAATCCATCTTTAAAAAGTAACTTTTATTGTGTTGACCTAATTTAACATGGAATATGGCATCCATTTTTAACACTACGTACAAAATCACCAGACTGATGATAAGGTCGCTTTCCAAAAATATCCTATCTCTAAATATGGCCTTTGTTGTGTTTAAAGTTGGGCTGCTCGACTATGGCAAAAATCATAATCTCGATTATTTTTGGTCAATAATTGATATCACGATTATTAAAAATACTTTACTTTGAAAACATCAATAAATTGAAAAATAAATAAATGTGAACAGTATGTTAACAGTTGATTACCCTGAACCAGTGGCGGTTCTACGGGGTGGCAGCTGCCACCTCAGAAAAATGCCTTGCCCCCCCAGCTGCCACCCCAGTTGGCAGCTTTGTTTTGAAAGAAAAGTTGTGGCTCATCGGACATTTATGAGAGAAAATCTCTAATGTCCGAGTGCAAGTGAATGCAGCACAAGACGTGAGCATTGTAACCCCTCCCCCGGCCCGAGCCTGGAAATATTATTGGCGGCGATTTCATTTGAACGGGGGGACAGCGCAAAACGAGAAGCATTTTGGATCCAAGTAGACGGAAGGAATGAGGTGTTTGCGGTCTACAATGACAGAGAAGAGTCTGTCAAGTTTGGCTGTAAGGCAAGGCAAGTTCAAGGCAAGTTTATTTATATAGCACTTTTCTGTACGCGACAATTCAAAGTGCTTTACAAAACAAATTAAAATACTTTTTAGGAATACATACAGTAAAAACACATATATAATGGCATTTTACAACACGCACTACAAAGCAAATATAATTAAATAATTAAAATAAACACCACAGGTATACAATACATGTTTAAAAGGCATACTGTAGTGCGAATATGAGCAGCTCATTTAAAAGCAGCGGCAAAGAGATATGTTTTTAGTCTCGATTTAAAAATAGTAAGCGTTTCTGCGGACGTGCATGATTTGGGTAGTTTGTTCCAGANACCGTAAAGACACAGAATCTAACGGTTTCCACCTCAACAATGAAAGATACAAACTCGCGACGTTATCAACTAAAACGTACATCAAAACAAGTGGCGCTAGGTAGCCCACAACGCTAACATGGCTTACCTTCGTCTTTGTCTGGTCTAAACTGGTCTTCAATGGCATTAAAACGATAACAACGATGATGTAGTTAATCCATAGGTTAATATCCAATGTGGCTGTGTCCCCTTTGAAATGTTCTGATAATCTATAAGCAATAAAACTGCAATTCCGTTTTAAAAAAAAGTAGAGCAGGCCATTCCTAGGCTCTGTAGCTTCATTGAATGCGCGAAGATGCTTTTTTTGCTAAATCTGTCTAAAAAGGTCAAATATCACTTGTTTGGCATCAATCTTGATACAGGGTACTTATTATATGTTGTACTTTGGATTCCGAAAGCTTTTAGTCTACTAACCCATCATCCAAGGTTAGTTTTCCCTATAAGTAAACATATATTTTGGACGGACATTATAATTTACAGTTTTTTATCATGTTCAATCTGAATTTTCTTTAAAATAAAAAACATCTATATTGATTCTGACTTTTCTACATCCAACTCACAGGTTTATCATTACTTTGAGAAAAAAGATTATTAATTTAACCCTTTTCAGAAGGGAAGATATGGTCATTTGTTCTGGGAATGTCATTTTCGAGCCTGAAACCTGAAAAACAGGCTTGGGGCTTAAGAAACTTGGTTTATTGGCATATGAAGGACTTCATATTTCAGTTTCATGGATCGTACGCTTTAGATTCTAAGAGAAATGTGAAAATCAACATACAAACCAACATAACACTGACATTTCTGCCAGCAGATAATTATATCCACACATAATGAGGCAAATATCATTTAAGTGTCACTGAAGTAGGCTTTCCTGTGTGTCAATTTAAAGGCATGAAAGACGGAATGCAGACAAACATCCACTCATGCTTCCTTTGAAAATGATTTCCTGCACGCCTGCTTGCACATGCACAAAAACAAACACTCCCGCACCACAATCAGCAGAGAGAACAGAGGGGGGAGGGGCGAAGAGAGGATGATGTCACCCCTGTAGACAGCTTAGCCGAGGCTTGAGATAATGGTGACATTTCAGGGAAGGTGATGTCATTCTTCCACTGCTACCTTCCCTCCTCCCTTTCTTTCACCCACTGCCCTCCTGTTCCCCCTCCCTCCTCTCCTCATCCTCAGTGCAGGTGGCTTGCCGGGCTCTTTGAATTACAGCGCAAAATAATTAGCTATTGAAACCCCTCCCCCCTCCCTTCTCTTTTCCATGCTCATAGCTGCGATGTGTGAGACCCTTAATGTGTATGAGTGTGATGTGGATGTCATGGGTTTGAATGTGGGTGTTATGTGTTTTAACATGTGGGTGTACATTATGATGTGGCTGTTCTTTCTCTTGCAGCATTTTAATGTTTGGAAACATTTGTGTACATCACTATTTGCTCGTTCATGTTCCTGCCTATGTGTGTGTGTGAGCATGTGTGTGTATACAGTATTTGGGGTTTCTACCCTGGGTCCCAGCTGCCCACTGAGACCAATCAGGCGGAGAGCTGCCAGGCTGCAGGGCTGGTTGGCATCGAGAGTCTCGCTGAGCTCCTCGCCCTTAGGATCTGCTCATTTAAGGTTTCCCTGACTTCACACAAACCCTGTTTCGTCCCAGAAATGTATTGTACTATGTATTACAGTCAGCGGTTAAGGCTTAAGTGTTTTTATCCCCTCCACAGCCTTGTGCTGGCTGTGAAAATGTGCATGCTGGGGGGTAGTTAAATTCAAAAAGGATTTGGAAACAAGACACGTGTGCAAAATCTTATAATACACCTTCAACACAAATACATGACTTCTGTATGGTAGGCTACATAAAGGTAACTTCACTTTCCAGGCAGTGAAATCCGAAGGTTTACCTTGCATTTGCATATTATGGAGATTTGGTTTAACCTACTTCAGCACACTTGGCTGATTGCCAAAGATAGTGATGCTTCAAAGCCTAAAGGCAGTTGTACCTCTAGTCTCAGCGCTGAGCTGGAGGCTGCTCACCGGCAGTATTTTTATCCCTGAAAACTCACCGTTAGAGCCGTGCACTTTCCCTGCCAAGTTCTGGTGCACTGTCTTTCTTCCTCTGTCGAGAGCACTCAAAGCACCGTGTGTGAGCTGTAAACAAGTTCCCACCCCCCACCCACACCGCCACACACACTCAGGCTGTATCTGGGCAAAAAGAGCTTTCTGAAACCATAAGCTTCTGTCTTATCATATGATTGCTTTTTTTCGTGTCACACTCTTGAATCACGGGGCACAGAAGGCTTCCCTTCGCACCTAGAGGAAGTCGACCAGAAACCAGAGCACATGTTACCACCGTAGAAAGAACAACTGTCTACGAATGTGTGTGCAGAATATGAACATGAGCAATAACAAGGCAGCATGGCAGCTAAACAATGCAGAAATGAAACGCATGACACACTGTTATTCTTCTTTAAACACAAACTGTGGCTCAGGATGGAGCAATGTTTTTACCGATTCAAGACCTCAAGCAACAACATTCATCAGCAATTTTTTAAGTAAAGTTTGAGTAACATTTGACTTTGAGGGCCTTTAGATATTTAGAAATGCATTTTGAATAAAAATGTTGTTAATATAATACATTGCAATATTGCGTTTTGATGCAATGACAGTTTCAACTACTCCAAATGGGTATTTTCAAAGAGTTTTTAATGGATGCATGCTTATATCAGGTGTCAAAGAGCTGACGTTTACTTGGTTATATTATATTTGGCAAATCAAACGCACCTACTCCACACTTGCGTAATTTTCTCATCTCATTTGACCTGGTTTTTAAGATTTCTCATCACTACGAAGAGCATTGCACCTGTACACAGTGCGAGATAAAAGTAAATTACTGAATGATGACATCTCATGTGATGTTTGCATGCTAGCTAGTCATGACGACTGATGGAAAAAAAAGCTTTCCATCTTCAGGCTTTAGATTAATAACATCAAACAAGTAGAATGAGGTGAATTTCCAAATGTTGACAGAACAGGAGGGTGGAAACCATTCAGCGTGAAGAGCTATAAGTGCAAAAGAGGTTCTGATGTGTGGCGTGCAACAGATTTTTTATGTGAGTTAGTCGACCTCAATTTTCCCTGGGGACCCTTTTTAGCCTTTTATTCAAAGTGAAGTTGACAACATCATTCTCAATTTGATTGCCTCACCTGATGTGTGAAAATTGTGTTGGGCTCCCACGGGATGAATCATCAATTATTGAAACGTTAGTATAAAGTATGTGCTCTTAAGGTATGGATGGTAAATCATTCATATCCTGGTGGCTTTTGACATACAGTCTTACATTTTATGAGCACTGAGCCCTGTCCGTTACATACACATACACAAATAGATACTACCAGTTATTTTTCAAATTTTTCAATGTAATGTCAGAAGAAAACAATCAAGAAAACATTTGGAAGGCTTGATTAAATACACTACCAATTAAAACCTCTTTAATGGATTAATGAGTTCAATACTTTTTAGACTTTATATCCTATAAGGACTCACAGCAACCCTGACACACACACACACACCCAGACACACACACTCATTTTACTTGTGGAGAATATGGAGGAAATGAAAGAGGTGTGCCACGTGATGGGAAGTTGTTTTAATTTGCCATGAAAACAAACAGGTGCACTTGCACATGAATTAGCCCGCCCCCCTGTTTGATAAACATACACTCAGATGTAACGACAGATGGCATTCTCAATCCAGGAACATTCATCTGTGACTCGCTGGAGATCGTGAATGGAGGGTCCCCCAGGACACGGTGCTGTCAGGCTGATGGACTCATTAGACACGCTTCAATGTCTGTACAGGAGTGGGCCTATCACCCCTGGGCTGTTTGCAACACCGTTTCTCCTTTACGGATAGGCAGTAGTGACACTAATTAAGATGTAGAGACATTCTCCGGCACATGAGGTGTCACTGAAGATACCTGCAGTAATACTAAATGCTCTCAGGGTCCCTGTAGTTAGGCCTGTATTCAATTAGTGGCAGCACAGGTGCATCCTAGAGCTATTGGCTAACCTTTTGAGGTAATCGATTCATGTCATAATGGTACTACTCCTAATAGCTAGTGGTGATTATTATATAAGTACTTATGTGTTTGAACTGAAGTTGTAAGACATGCATAACAAATGTAGTTTGGAGACAAAAAATACTTTATTATTTCACCTTGACAGCCTATTAGAAAGTGAGAAATGCCACGACCACTTTAAAAGGAATTGTTAACAGCAGATTTAATGGATGAATAGAAATTGAGGCAGTCATCAACAAAGTTTCTTGCTATATAGTAAGTACTTTCAAAAATATTTAGCTTGAGATGTTCTGCAGCCTGAATTTCACCAGTGGTAGAGGGGGTGGCGCTTGGGTTGAGTGTCCAGAAGGCAGATCAGATCTACGAGGATTATACAATGGTCAAAAAGCTGTTTCGTTTTTGGTGTTTAACAACCAAGTATCTTGTCCTTTGTTTAATCATTTGAGGGTCCTGGCATTTGCCCATACCCAGTCGCTCGCTGTGAATTCTCCAGTCTCTTTTTACACATGGGCTCAATCAGAAACGTTGACATTTTACCAGGAACGTGGCAGGGTAAAGTCAGGTTAATGGACACTTACATTATGACATAATAATGTATAGATTATTAGGGTTGAAGTGCATGTGTGAGGGGGCTGTAATGACAAATGGCTTTGATGTAGCATTTCAAATTAAATAACAGTCTATTTTGAGGAGTTGAATCAATTTGATTAAATCCTAACGCACAGATTGCACAGCCGACATATTACCAGGCTGTCATCATACTCATTCCTGAGCTGGATTTCCCCTGATCTGGCTGACAGGACACAAAAGGAATGTTGTGGTGCATTGGACACTTTCATCTCTGATGCCCATTGTTGGCCATCTGGGCTGTGGCCTTTCCCCCCTGATATGTGCACACAAATGCTGTTTATGAACTGCAGGTGGCTTGGTAGGGGTCACAGAGGTCCCAGAGGGAGACCACAGAAGAGCCGCTTAGGGGATGACATCACTTAATCCTGGTATGTCAACGCCTAAATCATCACAGGAGCAGAGACTGTGTGCAGCATTGTGTATGCATGTGTGTGGGAGGTGATTCTGATGTCATTGTTTGCCCCCGCTTCTGCCCCAAAGTCCTGTCCGCCCACCTAAAAGAGGAACGTTTATGTAGCTATTTCTGTCCACCCGCATGCCTCTCCCTAGACTTTCCACGAAGAAAACTTCCCTTGCTAATTTGCGGTCAAAACTTCAAAGCCATTGCTCTAAAGAAAATCCAGTCAGACAAATCTGTAGGGCTTTTCAGAAACAAGAAGTCAGCATGTGTATGAATAGTTCAAATAACGTCCACTTCTTGGAATGTAGGCCTAAACGTATGAAAACCAATACTAAAAATAACACCACATGTTCCCTTTGAGATGAGATTCTGGATATGAGGATTATGAATGACAGACCAACAAACTTTATGGGTTTATAATAAACACTACTAGTAAGTATGTTAAAGATTTTGTTGGTTAAAGATGGCAAACGTCTGTTTAAAACATAACACGCGATATGAAATGTCAAAAGCCATGCTATTTGTCCATTTCGCAGATTTCCAAGCTAGATGGAACCGATGGTTTCTGATTTCATTCTTGACGACTGGGGCAGTCACACAAAAGGTCAAGGGTCAGATGATGCATGTGACCTCAGGAATCCAAATCCTCCTTCTGTATTTAAACCCTACTTGGAGCTTAAGTCATGGACTTATGGCCATGAAAGCAGGCTAAATGGATCTTATAGTGAGTCATAGGTTTCGTGATGAGGTCATTACTACAATGGTGACCCATGATTTATTTTATTCTCTATGAAACATTTTACTGGTCTTACTATGAAAAAAATACAGCTGGCATCATCTGGATCCATCACTTTTATCTTCTGTGGCAACAACAAGACTCGCTTTGCGGAAAAGACACTGTAATTAAGTGATGGTGTCATCCGTAACATTACCCTTTTCATGGGTTGTTTACTCGACTTCTTTTGATCCCACACCAGTTGTGCTACCAGACATGGCGGCAGTGCTTGTAGGGAGGGGTGGGGCACATGCTTATTCAGACACACTCGGCAGACAAACAATGAGCAAAATCGTTCAACAAACAGTATGCAAAATCAGCCGTGATGGTTGCAGCCATAATGCTACTGAAACCATTCAGAGTGTAACGTCTTTTCAGCGCTTACTATGCTGCCGTGGCATGAACTGACGTGGTGCGGATAATCGTTTATAAAAACATTTCTTATGAGACAAGATGGCTCTAGGTGTTATTTTTTCATGACATGCATAAAATATATTCATGACATTAAATCTAATGACGGATTTTCTGTAGGCTATGCATAAATGTAATTTGCAGACACAAAAGTGTGCCTTGCATGAAAATATTTAGTTTCTTTATTTTGGTCAAATGTCCCAGTATCTTATGTAAAAGCAACCATAAATCATGTTTTAATGACAACTTTAAGGGATGTAGAAAATCCCCCAAACTATTTTTTACTCAATGGCAACCACACAGGAAATGAGGTCATCTCCTCTGTCAAGTCATTTCACCAGCTACTGAACACATGACATCATTGTGGGTTTTGGTTGGCTCCCCTGCACTGTATGTTTGATATAATAACCTCTTTGAGATGTCACCAAGATCATAGACAATCTAAAAATATGGTACACAAACTATTTTATATTGTTGATGTATTCTAAATTATTACGTAACTTATTGATGCCCAGAACTATGTGCAATAGAGACATGTCTTTAGAGCAACAACAGGAGACTATTTTTTACGTGATTCATTTTGTATCTTTTGTCTGTGGAAAAAGCTTTAAATCCTTCATCTCACTTTTGCCTCAGAGACAACTCTTCCTATCTCCCGTTGGTTGTAGCACACAAGACAGTGAAATGTATTTCCAGCGCTGTTCACAGTGTCCTTAATGCACCCAGATCTGTACTTCCATTCCTTCACTGCTGAAAAGCAGCGGAGGCAGTCATGCTGACAGTTGCCTCTCTTCAAAGCCTCTTTAATGGCACGTCAATTCCTGCTTCCCCTGGGACGGTGACTGAGGGAAGATGAGGAGGCTGACTGTGACTGCTGGCTATGGAGGACCAGTCAGCTGCAGCTCACATCCACTATGCCAAAATCTACTCATCCTCTCTCAAGTAGGCAGAGACATATTCGCCTTTCTGAACTCCTGAATTTAAGGCATAGCTGTCACCATACTGTCTGAGCGCTCCTGGGTGATGATTGTTTGATCCACACAAAAATGCTCTGGGCACAAGACAATGTCTCCAGCCATTACTGCTAGTTAGCTGCCTGGCTGGTGTATTCTATTATTAACTATAGGCAGAGAAGATATCTCTTACAATTAAAATGTGTCTGCCTTGGAAACATCTTTATAAATATTTAATGCCATTTCTTGAAAATCGTAAGATTCTGATCGTAGCTCATGAAATCATCATATTTTATTCTTAAGCTTTGAGCACAAGGGGCACCTTCTTTTGACTTGACTTCCTTGATCCTTAGATTGTATTAATGTGTATTCCCTCACTCGGTGTCTCTCAGATAAGAAATGACCCGAGGTAAAGTAACATATTCTTTGCCGGATTTACGAAGTGGACTATATTAGTCCTGGCTGAAACATCTTTACAACTATTGGATGGGCTGTCGTGAAGTTAGTCATGCCCCCCTCAGGAGAAATGGTTATGACTTGAATTATCTCTTAAAGTCCAACTGAAATGAAGTGGCATTTTTGATACATCCACCTGAACTGTTAATCCCATGTCCTGTATTCGCCTTTGAGGAAAACACATCATTAACCAGAAGAGAAAATGTTTTTACATTTGAAATCAAAATGGCACACAATATTTTCACATTATTTAAATTAACATTAGTTGTTACGCCTAAATAGATGAAGAAAATGTTCACTATATCTCATTAAATTGCTTCATGTCCTAAATGTGTCCTGTACTTTGGTTTAAGACCAAATGAAAATACCATCAGCTTCCTTTTTTTTTTACAGATTCTGATGTGATGAGTAGATTAGATAATGGATCTATGGTTTTATAAACCCTTTTTTAATATGCAGCATTAGCATCATTA